TAATTGGTCGAGAGGAGCCATGTATGTAGTTGTGAAGCAGCTGAATGCATTGGAAAGAGTTGACCTGAGAAAGTCCCCATCAAAAAGGAACAGGTAGCTTCTCAAACCACCTTGCCTACAATAAAACCTATAGTCAAACAATAAAGAACCAGGTAGTACTCAATCAAGCAGGTCTCTGGTAGAGGAGGTTCATGCCACACAATCCACTGTTCTACCAACAAGGAATCATCTTGCATGACTATATAGCTCCTTCTGATCTGGGAAGTGAAATAAAATTCAATTTGGGTTGTTGCAGGTTTTTCAGGCTATATGGCCATGTTCTAGAAGCAATCTCTCCTGACATTTTGCCTGCATCTATGGCAAGCATCCTCAGAGGTTGTGAGGTCTGACAACCCAGTGAAAGCCTTTGATAATACACAAAATTCAATCTACTGAACTCTTCACAGCGCTCTTAAAAGTTTGCAAGTATTCCTTCTATTTCAGAGGCTGAGAACCATTGTATATGGGCTTTGCCTAATATTAACTGCATAGTTCCAAAAACATGTACTTAATGTTTTATTACAGTTGGAAAAATCATAGAGTACTGATTACATCTCTAAAATGTGTGTTGGGTGGGAGGGGGGAGAGAAGCTTTAAGATGAACTTTAATATATTTAGAAAACAGGACAAATAAATATTGTGCTCTGCATAGAAGGAAGATGCTTATGAATCAAGATGAAGTGGTATTCAGTTCTTTATATATCTAAGATCTTGAAAACGATGGAAATAGACATTGAAAAAAAGAAATGTTATTCATATCTGGTAGACTTTCAAGAAAATGAAAAGATTTTTGTTACAATAAATGATTAATAAGATGCTGATGATGAAGTAGATTCTTTGTCCTAAACCTTTTCTTTCTGCATATTTGAATGAGACATATTCAAAGCATGAAGAAATCATTTGATTCCATATGTTAGAAGCAGTCAGGTTTTTTGTTTGCCAAGTATTATGAATATGGCAGTGAGCCATGAACAAAAGAATGGTTGACAAAACTGTGGCCTTGGCTGTTCTGAAGAAGATAACTATTATTTAAATAGAGAAAAATCCATTTATTTGGAAAGAGATTGAAATAGTTTACACATATTACTAGAATTCCAACAAAGATGGCATTATGGGAAAGCTTTAATTTACCATCTTTGCAAAAATAATATAGACAGCTCTGAGATTTTGGTTTGGTCAAGACAGTTGATTATCTTCTGGAAGGTTTCCTGGAAGGGGAAACCAGACCCAAAACTTTGCAACTGAACCCCCCAAAAAAGGACTTTATTCAAGAGCAGCATGTGAATAAATGAATTGCCGATGCTTAAAGCCAATCGGTAGCCATAAGATGCATTCCCAGACTATGGAAGAACACCCACTGAGCAGGAGGACAAGGACTTCAAATGACCATATGTCTACAGGCTATTTTTCCTGGACAAGAACATGGAACTAGGGATCTGAAAGCCAAAACTCAGTCAGACAAAAGGTTCTGAAAGTAGTCTGTCTTTCAAAATATATGTAGTATAGCAGTTCAAAAGTAGTTAAACTTTTGAGTACATATACATAAAGATTAAAATGACAAGGCTACCTTCTGAAATACAGCAATAGAAGCAGTCTAAGAAAATCACAACCTAGGGTTGCAATGATATAATGTATTGAATGACCTGACCAGGGATGGGAAAAGTCATTTTTTCAGGACCAGCTGTCATAATTCTTAACTAGCAAGGGTGCTGATTTTGCTAACTAGATGGTCCTAGGATTTGGAGTCCCTAAAAAGTAACATTCCTGAGTTCTTCAGGATACTATCCTCATTACTGCATTTGACTTCAGTGAAAGCTAGACTGGTTTAGCAAGTCCAAGAGTTCAATGGCTCAGGACATTCAGGTATTCGGACATGTTCCTCTCTCTTTCAGTTCAAGGTCTTAAAAGCTACATTTCAGTGGCTGTTCTTTTGAGTAAGGCCTTATTGCCATTAGACAAGATGGAGGCCCGACAACAACAAAAAATGACATGCTACAATGGCTTCTCTAAAACAACAACAAGATCATAGGGAGTTCGTTGACAATTTCCAGCAGCGTTTCCATCAGGCGAGCAGGAGGGGGGACAATAGTTTCAGTCTGCATTATTGGCAAGTTGATACCAGGTGTGAAAGTCTCCATGGTTTGAAATCAGGAGTTTATCATTTTTTCTAAAGCTGTAATCTGTTTACTGAGATTTTTATCCATAAAATATTTCTCAACAGAAGCGCTTACTGAGTTCTTTTAAAAGGTTACAGTTACAATCCATAATCTTTGGATTTACACACACAATGTTTTGCTCTGCCTGTTGTGATCTATTAATGGTTAAACATCTCTTTGTTGTAATCCGCAGTTGGCTTGGGACCAGAACAAGGAATCATTTTTCTCCACAGGTTGTTTGCACAGCAAGTTTGTTTCTTTCCTGAGGCTCTGCTTCAGATCTCTTCTCCCATCTTCTGAAACATAATGGTTAAATATACATGAAATGGCCTTTCAGTTGTGGAACTCAAGATATAGTTGGCAACTTTGCTGCTTCCTTTTAGAATAGGAGAAAATACTCTTTTATTTCTCCAAGTTTTTGTACAATACCCTCCTCGGTTATTGTTGCCTTGTGTAGCCACAACTATTATGTTGTAGTCTCTTTTTTAGATTATTGGTTTCTTTAAATTATATTTTGGGATTTCTATTATGTATTATTTTAGCTTTGGTTTAATCTGAAACAAAATAATATTTCATATACTTCCATTACTCAAACTAATCTATCTTCCGATTGAGTGGTAGAATGTGCCACACTCTGAAAAACTCAAAACAATGTAAATGGATTTTTCATCTCCTCCAAAGGGAATAAATAAATAAGATGCCAGAATAAGATTGCCGTAACAAACCAAATCATTCCTTAGAGATGTTAGGAATCTGAATTGGATCCTATAAGACCAATGCTCAGAAAATACATTTGTGCTACATTTGTTAGAAGGGGAAAATTGTTATCAAACAGATGTTGCCTGTGTGACCATCAGAGGCACAGCGACAAGACCAGAGGATCTTAGAAGTGTACACTTTTTGAAGCATGCTCATTAAATGTAATTCATTTAAAAGTGACCATCTGTTTGGAGCCACAATACAATCTTTGGTCACTAAGTGGCAGACTTCCTTATGTATACAGCTTTCTAGGCCAATACAGTTTGCAGAGAAGTAATAGCAGTCCTAGACAGGGAGTGACAAGGGGTGCTCTTTCTAACTTGTATTTGGGAAATGTATACTCAGTGATGTACAGTAGGACAACCCCTTCTCCTGCCCCCTACACCATATCCCATAGCAAAGGAATGCACCATAGCAAAGGATATCCCTAGGGCCCCACCTACAATGAGATAAGGCTAGCAGATTAGGCCACCATTTATTTGTTATGTGCCTTCAAGTTGTTTCTGACCTATGTTGACCCTGAGGCACACATGTCAAATGCAAGGCCTGTGGGCTGAATCCGTCCTGTCATGTCATTTTATGTGGTCTGCAAGACTATCAATGCTAGTGCCTCATCACATGGAGGTCTTTAAGCCAGGAGACAGCGGGGGAATCTTTCTGGCAGCAGGAAAAATCCTTCGGGTAGCAGGGGAAACTATCTTTAAGTGCCCCACATCGCCCCCTTCCCCATCATATGGGGGAAATCGTCACTGCCCAGCTTCCTCTTGTGCTGTCCCTGCCTTAGGTTATGAGAATATGGATAGGACCTTACTACATGGAGGTCCTTCTTCTGTGTACTCTGAGCTTCGTCCTACGATGCTGCTGAGACGGAGCCTCACCCTGTGTCATGTGATGGGCTCTGTCGGGCTCCATCCTGGAAACATCATAGAATGGGGTAAAAACCTTATGAGATGAGCTTGACTGTTACATTTGTACAGTCTTACAATTACAAGTGACCCTTTGAAGACAACCACAAGGGTGATGTGGCTTTCAGTAAAAATGAATTTGACACTCATGCCTGAAGGGAAACATATCATAGGGTGTTCTTGGCAAGATTTGTTCGGAGAGGATTTGTCGCTGCCTTCTTCTGTGGCTGAGAGATTGTGACATACTGAAGGTCATCTAGTGGGTGTCATGATCGAGTGAGCATTCGAATTCTGAATCTCCAGACTCATAATTCTGTGCTCAAACTGTTACACCGTAATGGTGCTCCCAATGTTGATGGAGGCATAATTGTCCTTGAAAGCTTCACTGTACCAAATGAAGGGTTATTTTAACCTATGCAAAGCAGAGTTTCTTTGTTAGTAGAAACTAAGATGGAATGATATCTATTAAATCCCTGTTGGAAAAGGAAACAAAAATGAGAACATAAATATCATCTGCCAAACATAAGCAGCAAATACACATGCTTTGTTCCAGTTTTTACTTCATATTGGGATTTGTCACTTGGCATTATAATAAAATCGCATTAGTGGTCATTTGAAAAATAAGCAATTTGGTAAGAAGGTTTATAATTATATCTTTCTGGTTCACAGCAAATGCATCAGGGCCCATGAATATTTTAGAGAAGGTTTTTACAACTGGCATGGAAATGCAAAAATAAATCTCAAATTTGTATTTCCTGACTCAAATGCTGCCAGTCTGTTTTGATTCTGATGCCAAAAGAAGGAAGAGAAAATGCTAAAATATTTCATTTCATGTGAAAGCTAGCTTTTCTTTAACAAATGATGTGTAGTCATAATTTCTTCAATTTTTTATGTATCAGGAATGACTTGAGAAACTGCAAGTCGCTTCTGGTGTGAGAATATTGGCTGTCTGCAAGGATGTTGCCCAAATAGGACCTGCAGAAATAGGGAAGAATTTACCCCTAGTCCCCTCCACCCCATGCCTGGTTCATTTAGGAGGAAACTTTGAATGGTATTATATGGATCAACACTGACTGCATAGTATAGTTCAAACTGCATTATTTTACAGTGTAGATCCAGCCTTAGTTCTCAGAGAACCTACCATAACAATACCTCCAGACTGCTCTGCAGTACACATGCTCAATATAGGTGCCATGCCAATGGTAGTACCTTGGAAATAGACTCCACTGTTGAAAGAAAAGAACATAAAGGTAAAGACTGAGAATGCTCTAGTGGCTTGTTTATACCAACTGCCATCTGTTATCAGTGTATAGAATTATGCCAAAATGAGCTTCATATGTATAATATTGAGCCTTTAGCATTCCTATATGAGTCATGCATTTACAGTATTATAGATAGTTAAAATTTTATATGGGTTTGTTAAAAATGTATCCTTTTCATTGACTCTCCCTCTCTCACAATTCACAATTATATATTGCCTGATTCTGGCATACTCTACATTGCAGAATTATTCCAGTTTGACATCACTTTGACTGGATGGCTCAATGCTATGGAATCTTGGGATTTGTAGTTTGGTGAGGAACCAACAATCTTTTGTACAGAAGGTCAAATGCCAATGATCTATAGCACTGAACCATGGCACTTTATGTGGTGTCAAACTGCATTATTCTACAGTGTAGATGTGCCCTCTGTTAACTTGTTTATCAGTCATGTAGATCAAGCTTTTTAATTTTCTTTTTACACCTGAATGCATCACTTTACTCCTCTCCAAATATGTGAAAGACTGAATGTGGATTTTTTTAAAAAAAAGACACCACAAATACAGTTCAGTTAACAAAGCAGATGTGTTCATGAGCATTATTTCTTTAAGAGAAATTGTAGCACAAATAACATGGTAAGAATAGTGATTGTGATGGAAGTTGACCTTCAGTCACACTTCAGGACCTAGAGAACATTTTAATCAAATCTGTAAATAATCCAATCTGCACATGTCAAACCCACAAACACAAAGGGCTGGCTGTACTTTGTTAGAAACCTCTTTGTCAGGGTTTTTCTTTCCACCAAGATCTGCTTATATATGTGAGGAGAGTTAACCATCCCCGCAAGCCTGGCTTCCTCTAACAACTGGGGATGCAATCTTTCTAAGTGCTTGTATTGAACCTCTTTAGTTGCCTAGAAATGTATAAGCCTTTTGTCAGAAAACATCGTGCTTGTGATACTGAAGAACATATCACCGTTCAAACTCTAGAATTCTGTATAGCATTTCTTGGACTATAAAACTCTTTTCCGTTGTTCTCACACTGGTGGCCATACCTCACTAGTTGTGCATTGTCGTGGGGTTTACGAGGTAGTAGTTTTAGCTTTCGCCAGTCTAGAAATTCATGGAGGGTGGTGAATGGGTCTTGGGTTACTGTACACTTATCTGCATCATTCCAGATCTCCACTCCAACCAACGCTATTCGAATATTTAGTGGCCTATAGAACTGATGAGAAAGCAAAATCAGCATGCTAAATTCTACTTGAACATTTTGTTTGCTAAGATTTCTTTAATAAAAATGACGAGAATACATATATGAAAAATAATTTAAAAGATAGGCCCCTTCCTGTCTCATGCAATGTAGAAATCAGAGCATGCCTTTTAATGTGGCAGTCTAGATTGCAGCATCCTTGGATCACTATGCATAATGCAGCATATGATTGGGACATACATATATAAAATCCAATGTTCCTGTCTAAACGAACAATTGATGGCTGCAAGTGGGATAACAATCACTGCTGGAAATAGCAATCTTCTCAAGCCTCCACCAGTTATGTGTTATGTATATAATTGCTTACTGTATTGGTTATTACTTTCCATGCCTGTTTCCTGCCTTGGAATTAGAAGACAGCCAATTTAGTTCAAACCAAAGTCATGTCTTGTCCAGCATGTTATTCATAGTGACCTTTGAGAAGTCCACAAGGAGGGTTTTTAATGACAGGGTGACTTGGATGTCTCCTATTGATATTCAAAAGTATATTTTGATTCTAACGTTGAACTATAACTATGTGAGTCTGTGATCCGAGCCTCATTTATTTTGTACCTTTTTTGTAACACTGACCAAAGAAATGCAGATTTTGACTCTGCTGTTGACTATTATATGGACCCAGACAAATTCTTACTTGCATTTGATGGGGGCTTTGAACATTCACTCTTCTCTCCTGAGTCTGAACAGACAACAATCATCTGACATCTGACATCTGCCTTTCAGGATTAGATCTGTGAATTTATTCCCCATCAAAATGCATTTCATTTACTTATGATAGTTAACTTTCATTTTTGTACACTGCAGTACATTATCAGTGTGGACTGACTTCAGCAAGAGCTGGATTGCATTGTTTAAGAACGAAAGTGAAATGTTGTTTCATTCAAATACCTTACCTTATCCACATAGTTTGCCATTTCTATCAGTCTCAGCTTCACTTTCTCCAGATCCTTGCCCTGTCTCTGAAACTAGAACAAATCCTGAAATTAATGCTGAATCACCACCATTTTATATTCTTGCATCACTAACTTCCATAAAGATTGATATCTTTTTAAAAAGGCTTTCAGGAAAGCTCAAACTGTCTACAACATAATCTCCATAAAATTTTAAACACTAGTTTCCAAATATTCATCTTCTAAATTTTTTGGAAGTGCACAGAAGCCATAGTTGACTCAGTCAACAGTAACAAATTCTGAGGACCAGAGGACCACCAATGTTTGGTAACCACTAATTTAGAAAAAGCATATGTCAAGGTTTCCCTTGACATGAAGTCTAGTCAAGTCCAACTCTAGGGGGTGGTGCTCATCTCCATTTCTAAGTCAAAGACCCAGTGTTGTCCATAGACGCCTCCAAGGTCATGTGGTGTGCATGATTGCATGGAGTGCCATTACCTTCCCACCAGAGCGGTACCTATTGATCTACTCACATTTGCATGTTTTCAAATTGCTAGGTTAGTGGGAGCTCACCTCATTACCCAGATTCGAACTACCAACCTTTCAGTCAGCAAGTTCAGCAGCTCAGCAGTTCAACCAGCTGCACCACTGGGGGCTCCAAAACAAGCATAGATTGTGCAAATGGATGCAGTTTTTAAAGAAATGTATGCTGGTTTCATAGGAATTTGGCATTCTGAAATGACCTCAGATCATCCAGAAATGACCTATCACAGAGAGTGAAGAGAGGAGGCCAGGAAGACAATTCCACCTTGTCACCTGCACTGTGCTAATAATATAATATAATATAATATAATATAATATAATATAATATAATATAATATAATATAATATAATATACATTGATAATAGTATAATGTAATACAATATAATACTACTACTAATAATACAATATTATAATTATATATTTTATATTACATATAATATTACTAATAATATTGCAGTATAATGCTATAGTGCAATATAGTAATATATAATGCTAATATTGTGCTATGATAATAACATAACATATTGTATTTACATATTACTTGTAAGCCACTCTGAGTTCCCTTCAGGGTGAGAAGTGTGGCATATAAATGTCATAAATAAATAAAATAAATAAATACATACAGATTTTTTCCCACAATTTGCTTTGATATATTTATTTTGTAATGTGTGACTGAGTAAAGAGAAAACAGTAATTAAGGAAAGTCCTTAATGTACTGAGATGAGACACAAAATTTGTTCAAATGCACTAAAAGAAATTGCACTCATTTTAGCTGTCACCGTGCCACAGATATTATGGGGAGGGGGAAGCAATTCTGGTTTCCAAGAGATGAATTTTGTTACTTAGTAATGGGGGAAAATGCAAGTTGCAAAATATCTCAAAACAAAGTTTGTCATTTTTGCTTCAGTAAATTGAGCTTTCAATATTCTGCCTTACTAATTTGTTTTCAAGCTCTTTTGTAAACATTCAGAAATGTAGGATGTGCTGCTTAATTCACTAATCAGCAAACTACTTCTAAAGAACCAATACCACAAATCTAGTTTAACCTGGCCAGTAAGAGTCTTTCTGGGCATTGAGCAATAATAAATAATGCATATCAGGCCCAAGGATCCAAAGTTCGTGTCCATCAAATTCATGGACAATGTCTGTTTAAATATATTTGGAAGACACCATACACTATGCCCTTCAATGTTTCACAATTGTAAACAGGGACATGTGTCCGTCTAACATAGGAGTGTGGTCAAGATGGCAGAAGTTATTCATGAGGTAGGGCATTAGTAGATGCTGCAACAGTTTGCTTTTGCCTGAGTCTACAGGGAAAAGCAAGATTTTGCCCTCTCTGCTCCTCTGTGCTGAGCTGAGTACAACCTAATTGTGTCGCCGAAGGCTTTCATGGCCGGGATCACTGGGTTGCTGTGGGTTTTCAGGGCTGTATGGCCATGTTCCAGAAGCAGTCTCTCCTGATGTTTCACCCACATCTATGGCACACATCCTCAGACATTGTGATCTCTGGGGATGCCTAACATAGATGTAGGTGAAATGTCAGGAGAAAATGCTTCTGGAACATGGCCGTACAGCCTGGAAAACTCACAGCAACCCTACAATTTAATTTTGCAGTAATTGATGTAAGCTGAGAATAAAGATGGAAAGAAAGAGGAGAAAAATGGAGACATTTAAAAAGTAACGGAAAAAGTGGGATAAAAGAAAAGTGGGACTATCCCTGCCAAATAGGACAGCTGGCATACATATTTTTGTTTGCATGTAAAGGGGTGAAAACCTAGCATTATTTTGCTGCACCTAGAATAGTGATATGTTTACCAAACTCATGCTTCAAATAGCTTCCAGGCTTGGGGAGGGGAGTTATGTCAACACTTGCTTTGTCTCTCTATTTCCCCAAATTACCCATTATCTTTAAAGAACTTACAGGATAATATTCTGGATTTCATAAAACCTCCAGATGGTATTTTTGGCAACACCAGTCCATTGGAAAAATCAGACACATGGAAGAAGCACTATGCCTCCTATCACTGTTAATAATATGAATGAAACCAGAATTTTAACTGAAAGCTTTTGTCAATCAAGGTTTTCTTTATAGATTTCTGGTTGTTGTATAAGGGTGCACTGTACATAAAAAGGGTTGCACCATAATTATGGCAATTTGATATCATTTGTGATTGTTCCTACCTGTGGAATCCTAGTGTACTTTCCCGAACTATAGCATTGGGGTAATCTGGCATTGAATTTTTTGACCGAACTACAAATCCCAAAAGTCTATAAGACTGAGCCATGGCAGTTAAATTGATAATAAAAAAGCATAATTATGTAAACACCCAATAAACCAATGATTTCCAAGATGCATACAGAAATGGGCTGTTAGGCAGGGCCAAGAGAAATCTGGTGAAGATGGTAAGAGCATGTGAGCTACGACTTCATCACAAGGGTGGCTGCAAGCATCATAGGATGCTTGCAACACAACTGATTGACGGAGCCCCATAATGCCCATCAAACAATGCACACTCACCCAACTGGTGCAAGCGTTCTACAATGCTTTGCCCAGAACACAAGAGGTTTCCTATGTTCTGTTAGAACCCCAGACCAGCTCAAGGGGAAGCCATCTGGCAACACTTCCCCATGTGTGATTGGGATGTGTCACTGTGGGCAAGGGGGTGTTGTACACCAAGGCTGTGATGAGCACCTTTGAACCCACAAACACACCAATGTTCTTTAATAAGCAAGCAGTTTATTGAAGATTAATATAGCAAGTGCCAAAAAGGTAAAAGGCAATCAAAAAGAAAATAAGAGAATGTCCAAAAAAAATCATAAGCAATGTAAGATCATCCAGCAAAGTCCACATCAGAAGAACAGGATAGTTCCAAAGTCCCATTAATCAAGTCCACAGGAAATAGCTCTTTAGTCCAAAAGGTAGTAAAACAAAGTCCCTAGAAGAATCAGGAGCAAACGTGAACAAAACCAAATGCAGGAACTTGAAATCAGGATACAACACTTACAAGAATCTCAGCATGAACATGAATCTGGAGCAAGATATTACATGAGTCTCAGCATGAAACAAAAGGCATGAAGCAGGCATGAAAGCTAAATGTTAGACTCACTGAAGAGCATGGATTCACAGGCCCTATATTTATTCAGAAAGCCATGGCAAAAGCATTCTGTTTCGCTTGGGAAACCTCTCCCAAACCACTTCTTTCTCTTAATCTTGCTGAACACCTCCGCCCTAAGTCCAGGTGGCGATCATGATAGATTTGCCCTTTGCGATCAAAGATTGCCTCCTCAGGTTTGCTCATTAGTACATTCTTTTTGCTATTACTATCTAACCTTGACTGTTCGGCCTCAGCCTGTTTCACATCAGGCTTTCTCAAGACATCCTTGCCTTGGGAACCAATGATTCCAGAGTCCTCAGTTTCACTCTGGCTAACTGCATTTTCTAGGCCATCCTCTGCATTCACAAACCCGTGAGAATCAATAGAAACCTGATCATTAAAGTCAGACATGGGAACCTCTGAAGAGTCCTGATCATGATCACTCTCTTTTGAAACCTGTGGCAAAGAGACAATCACAGGCTGAACCCCTACAGGGGATGTGTGGGGTGCTGGAATTGCCCCTCAGATTTGCCATGGAAGCTGGCAACCCCCCCCCCCACTACCCCCATCAATGTGATGGGGTCCCTTTTGAGATTAGTACTATAAATGTGAAGTCTCTATTTTTCACCCACTTCCTTCATGTATAAGGAATTTGAAAGAGCAACGTCTCTAGTTCTTACAACTTGCAGAAATCAGGGATTTGTGGTATGCTGTAGCAAGTATGTAAAAAGTGGAATTCATGGAAAATTTCTCAGTAAAAAAGATTGCATTCTGAATATACAGTGTTTAAAAGAAGCATGTTTACAAGAGTGATGCATTTAAGGGATGGGTCAACAGCCTCAGGAAAATATACCACCCATGAGTATATTTGCAAAATCAGTTTGCAGCTCTTACATGTATAACAACAGTAAATCGAGAGAGAATTTCTCAACATATACAGGCTTTATTTGTGCAATCTCTGAATAACAACTAACAACAAAAAACAGAGTCAAAGGACCATAAAATTAGGTCTCTTTTGAAAAATAAATGAGTGATGTAGGCATTCTTAAATATCTTCATGACTTCTCTCCAATTTCAACCATTTGTCTTTAATCCAAAACTGTCCTGTACATACACAAAGAGTTTCAACTCATAACCTTTGCATTGAGTTGCATTTTGATTTATTTCAGTGGCTCATTTAATGTGACACACAAAGAAAAGTTCACAGCAATGGTCTCTAGGATGCTATTGGCAAGCAAAATTCAAATTCTAGTAATCAGCAGAGACGAACACATAGAACTTTCTTACATTATATCTACCAGATAGTTTAATAGCTCTCCAAGGGTTTTAGGGAGAACTATTACCCAATTTTGCTACCTAACATCATTTTAACTGGAGATGTTACAGAACTTCTGCATACAGGTTCTATTACTGATATATCTCATCCTCATCCTCCATCTCTAATATTATCCATCATTGTTGTTTTATGGTTAATTGCCATCGAGTTGACTTTGACTTATGACTCAAAATCCAACAGGAAAATACACACCATTTCATGTCATCGTATTTTTACTGTTTTAATTTTGGATTTTGCTTACCTCTCGATTATCAGCAACAACAATGAGCTCCACATACTTGGTGGATTTTAGAGCGTCCCTCTTGTGCTACCAAAACAAAGATCAAATGCAGGTAGTTAGCATTGAGCTGGACTTTTAGATATCAATTTCGTGCAAAAATTCTGCAAATATCACAATATTACGAACTATGTAAATATCCACACAAATATGCAATATATCTATGTATCATTTACATTTTTACTATGTTGCTACAAGTTGCTAATACTAGTGTACAAGGCTCCAGTATGAAAGCAGACCTCCATCCAGACCTTGCATAGAAGACAGGGTTGTTTTTTGTTTTGGATTACAGCATGGACATTGATTTTTCGTTATAGTACAATAAAGTAACTTTTCAAGTCTCTGTATCCAGCCTCGAAACCTACTTAACTTCACCAATGTGACAGTATAGCATACCTTCAAACTATGATCCAACAATGCACTGTCAGTATACTTTTATACAGTGTCCCCTCCACCTAATATGCTTGTAATCAATATTTTCCCCACCTATCAAGCCTGTAATGGAGGCACATGCTTAATGCTGTCACTTTATGGGTTAAGCTAAACTAAAATCTGCTAATGCTCCTTTACCATCCAGAGATAAAGGAAGCTCCAGCCAGGTTTTGAGCCTTCAGATGGGTTGGTTTTCCATTTGAATACCGCATGGTTTTCTTTTGTGTCAGTATGTATATATTTTTCCTTTTTTTCTGATAGGCTTTTGTTTGTAAATTTGAACTCTGTGTGAAGGTCAATTGAACTCTGTGTTGTATGCTGCTAGAATCCAGAGCTTCAATATGTACTTTTTAAAGAACACATATAAGGAATTGCTTGAGCCATTCATCACGGAGAATAATGTAATAATAATAGACGTACTTTTGGACCTAATTAAAGAAAATAGTCATAAAACTAATTCTAAATTCCTACACGGATCTCTTGAATCAGTGGGACTTATATAACTATTTATTCCCCCAAGATCCAATTGATATGGTGGGTTTACAATATCTGGAATTTTTAATGGAATGTAGTTCTATAACTATGACAATTAATTACTTTTTCTGGGATACTTATGTTTAGAATTACAATTAATTACTTTTTAAAAATGTTCCAGTGTCATGTTCCAAATGGTAGTTTTTGTATTCCAAAATTACTTGTATCTGAAACTAAAAACACATGGGACAAAATATTTTCAAGAGATACACAATTGACTAATAATAATAATGTTATTTCTTAGCTGTCTCTCCTCATGGTTCGAGGTGAGTTGCAGCATAATTAAAACACATAAACATTGCAAAAATTCTATAAATATACATATTAAAATGTATTTCTATAAAAGATAAATATTAAAATGTATTTCTATAAAACAATAGTTTTAGTTGGAACTTCAGCTTGGAACATCTGATTAACATTATTAATCTATCCTATGACTTGCCTGGGGCAATAGTTTTCGTAGACAGATCATTTGTTCCTGAAACATATCTAATTATCACTTCTCTTTGCTTACATAGTGAAGCTAATTTGTATCATAGTTCAATCAACTTTCTCATTCATCCAAAACTGTAATTTCTTTTGAAAAATGAAATAATGAAAATACGTAACACATTTGCAAATTATACAGACACATTTTTTAAAAAGCATCCAGAAGTTCTTGTTTCCTCACTATAAAATTTAATTGTCTCCTAAATACAGTATGAGCCCCATATCTGCAGGACCGGTACTTGTAGTTTCACCTACCAGCAACTAATAAAATATGTAATCTCTAGGAATTTTCCTGGGCGTCCAGACGAATCCATGGTAAGCTTTCACTGGAAATTACCCTAGAGTTACCCTGGATAAATATCTCTCTAGGTATTTTCTAGGTCCTCCTGAGTGGCTATATGGCAACCTCCTGAGGAAGTCATTTGTTTCAACAGAGTTTGCTATTATCCACATTTCCTGTTTCAATAGTAAGTACTAGTATTCCCAATTGATACAGGGACCATACTGTAGTACTTTTATTGAACTTAATGTCAAACAGAGGAACAGCAATTAAGGTTGGAGAAAGATGCTGTAGTATATCAAATGATCGTTCTTCTGCCACCAACAAAAAACACTCCTTGTCTGAATTGTCAACAGAAGAAGCACGTACAATCTCACCAATTAATGTCTCATTCTAGAGTTTCTGAGACAGATTTGGCAACATGGCAGTATCACAACATGGTAGCCAGCAAAATGACAGTCTTGTCTATGGTTTTGGTAGGTCAGACAGGGAGGTTTCAAATTAGCATGTTACTGAGATTGTAATGCCCGAAGAGAAAAAAAAATCTGAATCCTATTCTAGTTGCAACAGAAACTCAGACCATCTGCTTGAAATTTCATTGCAGTATTTTTATCAGCAAAATGGTAGATACAACATTTTTATAGATATACTCATGTAGTTTCAATTAACAAGGCGTATAATGGAAAATAGTCACATAAATTTAGAACAATAAATCACAAGCATATTTTTGGAGAAGAACTTTTCATTATAGTCCAAAACAGCATGCATATACTCTATCACATAAATTGCATTCTTTGATACTAGCCAGAATTTGTTTTCTAATTTAGAACTTAATAAAAAATTGTATAGGTACAGTAATTTATAACAATGCTTCCAAAACACAAAAGAAAAAAAAAGTTTCCACTTACTCGACTTGCAAATGTCTGAATAGATTGTACAGTATTCTCCAGTGTGACAGCTGAGATGTTGAGATGATGCCCACAAGAACCTGGGGCTAGTTTCAGGCTCGTTGCGCGGTAAATTATATGTTCATTTGTAGCACCTTCCAAAGGCTCTAAAATATAGGCTTTATCTTCAAATGAAATCAGTCCCCTGTGGCATAAAAGATACAAATGATGCATTCTTTTCTGGTGCTGAGATACATTTTATGCTTAGTTTGCAACCAACTGATAGATCCTTTGTAAGCGTGAAAGTGTATCATAGCTAACAATCCCTAATGAGGCATAAGCTGTAATTCTGTATTGTTATCTTAGCACATAGCTCACTATAAGAACCTACATCCATGACTTAGTTTACAAATCGTAGCTAAATATCATCTCCTAGCCCAGCCCCCAAATTTATCATAACTGCCAGCAGTTGCAACAAGTGATGGAGATTTGCTCTGCTAGAGATTGGAGAGCAGCAAGATGACATTTCCAGTCCTATTTCACCAGCAATCTTTGGTACAATGAGGAATTATGACTGGAGTCCTGCTTCTGATTGGTTCACCCTCAACTGAGTACAAGAGATGGTTGGAAACACCATCCTGTTGTGCCCCTATTGCTAGCAGAACATGCTTCCATAAATTGGAGTGACTCCCTAAAGCTTAAGGTGGACTTCAGGTGGTATTTGCAACTGTGTCTAAATGTAGAGTAGCTACAGCTCCGTAATTCTAGATTCTGATTTCGTAACTGAAATGAAGAAATCCAGCCATTATTCTTCTGTGTGTAAGCCATGTGATATACAACCAAGTTATAGTTGCATTTTGCAGAAATGCTTAAGCATTTGCAGTATCTTTGTTTGAGATTATATCTCAAGCCATTGGGTTCCTTCCATGGGACAGTCGATGTCTTAGGCTCAGGATAGTTCAGCACAAACAAGTCCTGAGATCTACCTTACTTCTTTTATTTCTTCAGTTTGCTGTACAGACGGATTTTACTGGTGAAGTTGAGATTTTATGGATGGTAATTTGGACTGATTTGGAGGATGTTTTAAGCCTGGTGAACTGTTTGAAATATATATTTATAATAATTTTATGTAATTGTGTATTTTATTGCTGTTTTTATATTGTTTTTATATATTCAATTGGCATCAAATTTTTGCCTGCTGGTAGCCACCTTGAGTCCCTCTTCGGAGGTCGAGAATAGGACGGGATATAAATGTTCTAAATAAATAAAATAAATACCTATAGAGTGCTTTGTAAGCTAGATGTACATTAAGTTAGCGTATAAGTGCTTCATCATCTGCCAAATTTTGTACTGGGAGCATGAGCTACAACAATAAATCCCCCTACTTTCATTCAGACAGACAGACATATTGAATACTACACAGTACCTTGAATGCTAGGCCATACTATAAAAACATGAAATTGCTGCAGTGCCATCTATACACTAATTGAGTTGTGTATGTGGTGAACAGAAGATAGATTGGTAAACAGTTGTAGAACTTTGGGAGATTTGCTGTAGATGTGAAGGGATTTCTGACCCACAATACAACACCACCATCTCATTCTTTTCTAAATTATTTTGCTGAAATAAAGAGTTCTGAGGAACTGGGAGTTACTTTCTGTACAGAAGGAAAACGGTGTGGGTTCTGTTTGAGGACTCAAAACAAATTCCTAGGTTCAGCATTTTCCATCTGGATCTCATTGCTTCTAGTTAAAGCTTGGATTCTAATTAAAATATAGTAGATCCCACAAGCCTGAAGTTTGCCCACTCTAGTAAACATTGAGTGGGAAAGCAAAGCAGACGTGGCACATGTTTCTGATTCTTCATTTCCACTTGCTATATCTTGCTAAGTGAGTAAAAATCTAACTTCTCATTATTGTGGCCTAAAATGAGAATCAGAAACATCAGCCTACTCATATGTTTAAAATCCGTTTATTTTCTAACACATTATGCACATGTTCATGCTTAACACATGGTCTTCTTCAGAATTTGAAACTTCTTTTATTCTATTATTTTATTTTCCCCAAAGCTGGGACTGAAGAATGACATATAAACATTAATGTAACAAAAATATACAAAATTCATGACTTGAATAGTAGTAAATTATGTATAGAATTAATGCCATTAAAAATATTGACTTAAAAGCAAACAATAAAAATTTCTCGCATTTCTCACATTTCTATCCCGTCCTTCTCAACCCCCGAAGGGGGACTSAGGACGGCTTACAATGGGCCCCATTCCAAAGCCATTACATAACAAATTACAAAAAGTAATATAAGATACTAAAAGAACACTTGGCTTGCTAAAAAAATCAATTCTCCAAAGCCTCCTGGAATAATAAATAATAATATTAAATTGTCTTTATCTGCCAATAAAGACTGATCCAGCCTAATCTCCCAAGGAAAGATTTCCAGAATATGAAAGCAACCATAAAGAAGACACTATTACATCTACCCAYCAAACATGCCAAAAGAAATGACACCCCCCAAAGGATCTTTGTATAGGTTTATGGGGAAAGATACGGTTCCTTGGGTAACCTAGATTTAGCCTAARTAGGACTTCCTGCATCATATCCACCAATGTTCTTGATCTCTAGGTTGCCCTGYTTGTGATACTGAATTCCTTGAATGCTTCACATATTAGTGGACTTCCTTCCTTTCTWCCCTCTCTCTTTGTACTCTTCACTATATCTCTACAATAATTTAATGTGGATTAGAAAATCTGGCCCATTTTGTGTTGTTTACAAGTGATTACATAGTTCAATGAGGCAATTCAGTTGTCTGTCTCCCTTTGAATTCTATTGTTATATGATCCCTTTAGAGCCAGCATGGTTTGCACAATGGACTACAAGACCAGGGTTTCAATCCTTGTTCGGCCATGGCAAATACAGGAAGAAAAAGGCAATCCACCTCTGAACATTTCTTGCTAAGAAAACCCTGTGATAGGTTCTGCCTTAGGCTTGTTATAAGTTGGAAACAATTTGATGACACACAACAGCAACAACAACAACAACAACAACAACATGACTGATTTGCCCCTAAGATGATAAAGTTGGCATGATACACACATTCAGTAAATTATGACTGGTCTCTTTCTCTCTTAATTGTTACAAAGGAAGGAATTCACCACCTTCCATGCACATTGAATCTTATCTCCTCAAAGTTCACCTGTTGCCTGTAGAGTGTTGGTGGGCTTGGAAGATACCTTTGGTATGCATACAACTATAGGGAAACACTTGGATGCTTCTCCCAATGCCCTCCATCGGCCACTAAATTGTGCAGGGGGAGGGGCGTATAGACCAAAGCAACTCTTATGGGATGGAAGACTAAGCAGAGTTCTGTCTAGTAGAACCCTACTATTTGACTCCCATTGAAAGGTCATGACTTATCTTTTAATGCGATTAGAAGCCCTGCTATGAATATGGTGTTTCTGACAGAAAAAACAAGAAGGAGATCAAAAGTCTGAACTCGAACCAATTGTTTTACACTGCTATAGTGTGATTTATTGCCATCACGTACGTATCGACTGACTGGCACAGATTGATATTTGCCATTTTATGTTTTGAATGTTTCGATTTGGAATTGCTCACTTGATATACTGTGAACAACTTCATGCAGAAGCTTTTGAAAAAGCATGAACAAGTGAACAAATGTCAGCAGGTGAGAGGGAATAAATTGAAAGAGATGGTTGATGTAAAACATGTCTCTCCAATCACATACCGACAAACAAGAGGTAGGGTAGCTTGTGGATTTAGACCAGGGACACAGGATTAAAGCTGTAATTATCCTTAGAGTTAAGTGGGTAACTTCAGACTACATAACCTCAGACTACTTAACGCAAGGGTTCACAAACTTTTTAAACAGAGGGCCAGGTCACAGTCCCTCAAACTGTTGGAGGGCCGGATTATAATGTGAAAAAAACATGAATGAATTCCTATGCACACTGCACATATCTTAGTTGTAGTGCAAAAAAACCCAACACTTTAAAACAATACAATAATTAAAATGAAGAACAGTTTTAATAAATATAAGCTTATTAGTATTTCAATGGAAAGTGTGGGCTTGTTTTTGGCTGAAGACATAGGATTGTTGTTGTTGCTGTTGTGTGCTTTCAAGTTGTTTCAGTCTTAGGTTGACCCCGAGCGAGGGCAAGTAAATGATCTTGAAAGGCCGTATCTGGCCCCCGGGTCTTAGTTTGAGGACCCCTGAGTTAACGTCTCTCAATCTAAGTGACATCTAAGGGCTCATCCAAGTATATAAATGTGTCTGGCAAGAAGCCATGAGTCCCAACCCAAGAGCCTTTGACAAAGGAAAAGATAAAGCTATCAATAAACAGAAAACAAGGAAGCTATTTCAGTCTTCTGCTGTAAAATATGAAAGGGTAAATAGAGTCTTCACTCCTAGTTAACTAGATATTCCTATGTAGCCACTGTTCTGCACTGTTGAAAAATGTCTCTTATTTATGTCACTATGGGGCATATTGTGATCAACCGTATGCAGCTCCTGGACCTCATTTTTGCTGCTCTTGTAGTTTGCCCCTGCCAGTCACCCCCCCCCCCATTTTTTAAAAAAATGGCAGGATTTTCTCACAATTTTGACCCCAAAACATGCAGAAAGCTTCCCAAATGCATGAGAATGTGAAATTCCCTCCTATCAGCACTCCGGGACCCTGACCTACCCCAAATATTTCAATTTCACTCTAGAGTTCCTCTCAAAATGATAGCAGGAAGCGATGCTGTTTTGAATGTGACTGCAGAAAAATATGGAGAAATTTGCTGCAGGAGCATAGTCTACACGGGGCCTCAGGCCTAACACAGTTGCCAATACCTGGTTTAGGTGATTGTAAAACCAGCGGGAAGTGATAGATGAGGGCACTGAACGGCAGCACACTCAAATACAACAAGCCTGGGATAAATAAGGTCAGAACTTGATTAATTAGAACTAATATGGCTGTATAATAACCGTATATGCTTCATATAATGATGAAACAGATCATTTCAATGAGGTTAAAACATGGGGTTAGCAGGTAGAAAGTAATCCAATACTGATTGATGGTGAAATTTCGGAGGATCCTTTATATCAGCAGTTTTCAACCCTTTTTGAGTTATGGATTCTTTTGGTAGTTTATGAAAGCAATGGCCTTGGAGGAAAGAAGACTCAGGAGTGG